AGGCATGAGCAAACCTACAATCCTTCTATAGGAGATACCTTAGCCAAGAAGTCTTTTCACCCATAACTTTAATAGAATTTGGCAACTACACTAGCAGCATTCACCTGGTCCACAGGTGACCAGTAATATTGATAGATTGTTCTGTACTTAGAACAAGGGTCCCCAAAATAAAAGATCATTGATCCATTTAACTCACCCTCCTGATGAAGTGAGGATGCACCATTACGTGATCTATGTAAGTCCCAGGTCTTTGTCTCAAAATTTCAAAAAATAAAAATCATGGACAAGGAGAGTAAGGGCTTCATTTCCTTAGATAGATTCAGAACTTAAGAAAAAACAACAAGCAATTGATGTAATCTCAATATATCATCCAACCTAAAAGGAAAATCATATGATCATCTCAAGAGATTCACCATAAAGATTTAACAAAATAAATACAACATCCATTCATGATTAAAACAAAAAATAAACAAATAAACCTCAGAAAGTTAGGTACAGAAGGAAATTTCTTCAATTTTATAAATCGTATCTAGAAAAAATTTACAGAAGTATACATATGTAATAGTGTTAGATTGAATATTTCCCCTTAAGATTGGGAGCAAGGAAAGAATCTTTGCCTCACTTCTTCTATTCAATGTCATACAGAAGAAATGAAGGGCATATAATTGGAAATGAGGGAAGGTACAATATTGTTTGTGTAATTATTCATGAAAAAAATAATTTTAAATAAAATAACTAGAGTCAAAAGGTTCCCAACACATAGATAAGTCAAGTGCTAAAGGAGATAGAAATTTTAATTACCCTAATTTGATCATTATACACTGCACACTTGTATTGAATTACCATTAGTACCCCATAAATATAATGTCCATTAAAATATTTCAAACTAAATGAAAAGCAAAATTCCAACAGAAAATAACTAAATGAGTTAATCAAAATGATAGGGCACAGGCCAATATAGTAAATCTATTGTATTTACATGCTAACAATAAAAATGAGAAATTAAATGTTTAAAGATGAGTTTTTACAATAAAACACAATCTGTGTTTATTTCTCTTAACATTGTGATATAATCCAGACTCAAAAAGAGAAGTATCATGCTTTCTGTCATATGAGGAGTCTAGAGAAAAAAAAGACATGAAAGTAGAACTGTGACTATTAGGGAAGGGAAAAGGAATCAGGAGGAAGGGGAAGGAATATGAGAGGGTGATGAGGTGAATATGACCAATATACATGATATGTGTGCATGCAAATGTCTCAGCGAAGCCCATTGTGCTGTACAATTAATATATGCTAATACTTTTTAAAAGCTCTTTAAAAAGTTCTAATTTACATACAGTAATTACATACTTAAGACCAGTTTGATAGATTTTTTTAATTCTTAAATATTTACTTTACAAATACCGTATATATTTGAGGTGCAAATAGTAATCATTTAATATACATTGTATATTGATTACCTCCTCAAAGTAATTAAAACGTGCACCATCCTACACAGCTTTAGGTGGGGGAGAGGGGGAGGAGAGGATATTTAAGATCTAATCTCTTACCACATGTTTGCTAATCAGTACAGTATTTTTCACTGTAGTCACTGTGCTATGCATTCCATCCTCAGAAATTATTCATCTTATAACTTCAAGTTTGTACTCTGACCAACATTCCCCTACTTTCCCCTACCTGACCTCTGGTAACCACTGTCATCCTCTCTGCTTCTATGAGTCAAACATTTTTAGATTCCACATACAATTGATAGCATACAGCATTTGTCTTCCTATATCTGCAATTGGCTTGTTTTACTTAATGTATTATCTTCCATATTCATCTATCACAAATTCATCTTGTCACAAATGACAAGAACCCCTTCTTTTTATGGCTGAGTAATATTCCACAGGGCATATATATATATATATATATATATATATACCACATTATCTTCACCCTTCATCTGCAAGTGGACATATAATTTGTCTCCATACCTTAGCTATTGTGAATAATGCAGCATGGCAGGGCTGACATTTCTTAGAGATCCTGATTTCATTTCTGTTGTCTGTATGCCTTAGAATTGGATTGCTGGATTTTATGATAGCTTTATTTTTCAATTCTTTGAGCAACATATATACAGTTTTTCATAATAGCTGTAGCAATTTACTTTTCTACAGAAAGTGTGCAAGGATTCTCTTTCCTCTGTATCCTCAGCAACACTTTATAATTTTAATAAATGTTTGTAACTGAACCCCAATTTACTATACAGAATGTAATCATCACCCAAAAAGTCTCCTCATTCCCTTTTCCTGTGAGTAAATACAAAGATGAAACTATTTCTTTGTCACCAGAGTGTAGTGTTGCATGAGCTTAACTTCATATAAATGTAATCACAAAGACTTCTGTTTGTTTCTGAACTTTTAATCAGATTAGTATTTGGTTTTATTTAGTTTTTGGAGATTCCCTTTATAGCAGTGAATCCATTGTATTCAATAGCAGGTCATATTTTCCTGGCATCATTAATACTCCTCTCACTATTGCCTCCCTCTAGAAAAAACTGTATTTCCTTAAAAATCTAAGTTAGATTTCCATGATGTTTAACTTGGTCACAAGCATGTTTCCTTATCAAAAAATCAATACTTCTATCACACAGGAAACAGATGGAAAGACTTAGACATATTTACAGAAATTTGAAACTACTAAAAAGTGTCCACAGCCATAATGTTTCAAAGTTGTGCTTTTATGTTGGGCTCTTATGGAAAGAGGCACTGGGTGTTGTTTCTCATAAATATTTTCTTACTGTGAAAATCCTGCTCCATTGTGCAATGGAACAGAAATAAGGACTAGTTTCCAAAGAATAAGCAGATGATCTTCCAGGAAAAGAGACCTGATAGGTGATAGGGGTGGCAATCATTTGACCAGGATAAGTGACAGAGTCCATGAGTCTTTCCTCCCAGTAAGTCAGTAGTAATAAAATACAGCCAAGTGAAGGAGGGAGATGGTAACTAGCTGGACACACCATGAGCTAGAATCATTGAACTAAAAATATTTGTGTGCTTCAGTAAATCAGAGCTAGGGAGGACACCTAGACAATCTGGAAAAAGTGACAGAACAGAAAAATGTGAGAAATTACATGTTTCGTACCAGAGGACTCATAGAAAGAAGATAAAGCAACAATATCTTTACTGGGCTTTTATTTCAGATAAATATGTTCTACAGTTTCGGATGGAAATTGGAAGGATACTAAGGAGGTAGAAAGTGAAATCAGTTGCCCTCTTTTGTTCAGTAAATATAGATAAATCATCTGCATGTAAAACAGTGGTACCAGTGCTGGGGAGATATACAGCTGTCTAAGATGTGCCTCTGACTTGAAGAAGCAATCTAGCAATGGCATCAGACCACTAGCACCCATTCAACACTGCCTTCTTGGGGCCACATGCCCATGGGAGAGAAGGATCACATCCTGGCTAGCAAGATTTAGAAATGTTCCCTTCGTTTTTAGAATGGTCTTTATTCCTCTGTGCCTTATTGTTTGGTTTCCCTCATTACATGAACTTATTTGTCTTCTATATCTTTATTGGTAGTTTGAGAAATGGAAGTTTTAGAGAATAATGTCCTGTTTCAGAGATGCTTAACAAATGTATGGCATTGATACATTATAGAAACATTACTCTATCTTAATTTAAAGAGGTAAAAATAATTGGGGGAATATAAAGGCATGGATAAAGTGTTCTAATCAGAAGACACAAAGGTATTACAACAGGAAATTTTGTTACACATTTGGACTCACAGTTACCCTTGACTAATTAGGAAGTACAATTTTGCTTAGACAGCAATGGTGGTAATAAAGCTGAAAAAGATAATAGATGATAATGTCATCTAAGAACTAGTTTGGAGTGTATAGCTTTTATTTTACAGACAAGGAGGAATATCTGTAGGCTTGAGGAAAGGGGGTGACTTTTTAAAAAATAACTTTGAGCCACATGTGATTTTCTCATGCCTGTAAATCCCAGCTACCTTGGAGGTAGAGATTGGGAGAATCACAGTTCAAAGCCAGCCAGGGCAAAAAGTGAGTGAGACCCCCATCTCAACCAAAAGCTGTGTGTGGTGGTACATGCCTGTCATCCCAGCTACAGGATGCATAAATAGTTGGATGATGGTCCAGGCATAAATGTGAGACCCTGTCCTAAAAACATCCAATGCAAATAGGCAAGAAACATGGCTCAAGTGGCAGAGCACCTGTCAGGCAACCCCAAGACCTGAGGTCAATCCCCAGTACCAACAACAACAAAAGGAGTGATGTTGAAAAGATTCATTTTGTGGTACAATGGAGTGCAAAAGAGTCTGATATTATATAAGGCTTAGGCCACAGCCTAGATAATGGAAAGGGTATTGGACTACAGTGACAGCAGTGGGAACAGAAGGAAGTCCTAAAGGAAAAACAAGAAGAAAAAACCATGTCTATACTACCCAGTGATGGAAAAAATAGAAAAAAAGTCCAAAACAATTGCTAGCCTAGATTTTGAGCCTAGATGATGTGGAGAGCACCAACACACAAGACGGTAGCTGGGAACATTCTGTCATTTGACTTATTATCCCATAAATTACTGTGCATTGATTTCTGTGTAGAATCTTGATGATATTGCTCTAACACATAAAAGGAAATGTCCCTTGTTTAAATATTAAAATGTATTTTATTACAACTAAAGACAATAACTCTCTTTTCTCAGGATAAAAGACATTGGAGATTTGAACCTTACCTCATATAAAATTTAAACCCTACATGTCTCATGCTTACTCATTGCACTTCAGCCACTCTGAGGTATCCTTACAGCCGTTCAACATGCCAAGGCTATTCTCCTATCATGCCTAACTACCCCACCCCTGACCACATGTGACCCATAGAAGTACCAGAAAATGCGAGGTATTCAAGGAAAAGCAGTATGCATTAAATATTTTATGTATTCAGGCATTCCAGTCAGAATTCTCCTTTTTTTAACCCCTCCTTATAAAATCTACTAACAAACCATATGCCTAATCAATAACTTTTTCATGGAAGTTTTTACTTCCTGGTTTCGAAGAGTATAAATCATAGGATTCATCAATGGAAATATCACTGTGTGGAAGAAAGAGACCACCTTGTCAGCCGGTAAGGCCCTGAATGGACGAGTGTAAATGAAAATTGCAGGTCCAAACATAAGAAACATGACAATGACGTGAGTGGTGCATATGGACACTGCCTTGTTCTTCCCTTCGGAAGAAGATCTGCAGACATGGAATAGTATAATTGCGTAAGAGGTCAGAAGCCCCAGAAAGCACAAGAGGGTGAGCAGGCCACTGTTGAAGACCATCAGAAGTTCCACCACAAAGGTATTGGTGCAGGCCAGCTTGATGACCTGTGGGACATCACAGAAGAAGTTATCCAGCTGGTTTGGACCACAGAAGGGCAAGTGAAGAATGAGGAACACCTGGATAATGGAGTGAACAAAGCCTCCAAGCCACAGAGCCAACACCATTACATAGCAGGCTGTAGGGTTCATGACAGTTAAATAGTATAAAGGCCGGCAGATGGCAATATAGCGGTCAAAGGCCATCACAACAAGAAGCAACCCTTCCCCTCCTCCAAGAAAGTGCAAGAAAAACAGCTGAGTAATGCAGCCTCTGTAGGAAATTACCTTCTTCTCAGAAAGGAAGTCCACCAGCATCCTTGGAGCCACAATAAAGGAGTAGGATGCATCCAGGACGGCCAGATTGCCCAAGAAGAAATAGAGTGGTGCTGTGAGGCTAGGGTCAGACCTTATGGTTAAGATGATGAGGAAATTTCCAGGGAGAATGATGAGGTAGAAAATTAAGATCAGTACAAAAACCACAAGCTGAATATCTTGAGACTGTGTCAGGCCAAGGAGAACAAATTCTGTCACAACTGTGCTGTTTTCTATCTCCATCTCCTGTTCCTACAGAACATTTGGGAACAGAATTTATTTCCATCTCTTCCACGTTGTTGATAGCTCTTCTTTTTTTTTCCTTTTTCTTTTATTATTCATATGTGCATACAAGGCTTGGTTCATTTCTCCCCCCTGCCCCCACCCCCTCCCTTACCACCCACTCCGCACCCTCCCTCTCCCCCCCCTCAATACCCAGCAGAAACTATTTTGCCCTTATCTCTAATTTTGTTGTAGAGAGAGTATAAGCAATAATAGGAAGGAACAAGGGTTTTTGCTGGTTGAGATAAGGATAGCTATACAGGGCATTGACTCACATTGATTTCCTGTGCATGTGTGTTACCTTCTAGGTTAATTCTTTTTGATCTAACCTTTTCTCTAGTTCCTGGTCCCCTTTTCCTATTGGCCTCAGTTGCTTTTAAGGTATCTGCTTTAGTTTCTCTGTGTTAAGGGCAACAAATGCTAGCTAATTTTTTAGGTGTCTTACCTATCCTCACCCCTCCCTTGTGTGCTCTCGCTTTTATCAAGTGCTCATAGTCCAATCCCCTTGTTGTGTTTGCCCTTGATCTAATGTCCACATATAAGGGAGAACATATGATTTTTGGTCTTTTGGGCCAGGTTAACCTCACTCAGAATGATGTTCTCCAATTCCATCCATTTACCAGCGAATGATAACATTTCGTTCTTCTTCATGGCTGCATAAAATTCCATTGTGTATAGATACCACATTTTCTTAATCCATTCGTCAGTGCTGGGGCATCTTGGCTGTTTCCATAACTTGGCTATTGTGAATAGTGCTGCAATAAACATGGGTGTGCAGGTGCCTCTGGAGTAACCTATCACAGTCTTTTGGGTATATCCCCAAGAGTGGTATTGCTGGATCAAATGGTAGATCGATGTCTAGCTTTTTAAGTAGCTTCCAAATTTTTTTCCAGAGTGGTTGTACTAGTTTACATTCCCACCAACAGTGTAAGAGGGTTCCTTTTTCCCTGCATCCTCGCCAACACCTGTTGTTGGTGGTGTTGCTAATGATGGCTATTCTAACAGGTGTGAGGTGGAATCTAAGCGTGGTTTTAATTTGCATTTCCTTTATTGCTAGAGATGGTGAGCATTTTTTCATGTGTTTTTTGTCCATTTGAATTTCTTCTTTTGAGAAAGTTCTGTTTAGTTCACTTGCCCATTTCTTTATTGGTTCATTAGTTTTGGGAGAATTTAGTTTGTTAAGATCCCTATATATTCTGGTTATCAGTCCTTTGTCTGATGTATAGTTGGCAAATATTTTCTCCCACTCTGTGGGTGTTCTCTTCAGTTTAGAGACCATTTCTTTTGATGAACAGAAGCTTTATGAGGTCCCATTTATCTATGCTATCTCTTAGTTGCTGTGCTGCTGGGGTTTCATTGAGAAAGTTCTTACCTATACCTACTAACTCCAGAGTATTTCCTATATTACAAAGCAATAACAATAAAAACAGCATGGTACTGGCACAAAACAGACATGAAGACCAGTGGAACAGAATAGAAGACCCAGATATGAAGCCATACAACTATAAGCAACTTATCTTTGACAAAGGAGCTAAAAATATACGATGGAGAAATAGCAGCCTCTTCAACAAAAACTGCTGGGAAAACTGGTTAGCAGTCTGCAAAAAACTGAAACTAGATCCATGTATATCACCCTTTACCAAGATTAACTCAAAATGGATCAAGGATCTTAATATCAGACCCCAAACTCTTAAGGTGATAGCTCTTCTTGAGTATGTTCCATTTCTATATTATTCCATTTCTCTCCTCAACCTAAAAAACCTCTTTTGCCTTTTATGTTTCTACAGTTCATAAATACAACAATCTGGTCCTGAAGTCACATCCTCTCTTCAGCCCTATATGACCATTAAACTATTTTCTCATGTGAGACTGTAGGATTCCACTGTTCTAATTTTCATGAGGCATATGTAATGTTTTCTGATTGAGAAAAACACTTAATCCTAAATATTAACGTCTTCACTTACTCATTTGAATGGGGGGTGGAACGGGAATTGACAACAAAGAGGAATAGCAGAACTTTCAAAGTTAACAGAAATGTTTCATGTTGTACTGGACGTGTGGATCAAGTGGTAGGGCACCTGCCTCACAAACATGAGTTCCTGAGTTCAAACCCCAAGTACCATTAAGAAAAAGGAAATTTTACATGTCTTATTCATATCATAATGGTTTCACATATGTATTTATTTACCAAAACTGTCTGCATTGCTAGCTACTAGAGAGGGTGAGATTGGAGAATCATTGCTGATCCTGGCCAGCCTGGACAAAAAACTTTGGCCAGACCATCTCAATAAAAAAAAAAACCTCTGGACATGGTGGTACATGCCTGCCATCACAGCAAAGGTGGGAAGTGTAAAGTAGGACAATCACTGTGCAAGCCAGCCTGAGCAAAAAGTAAGATGCAATCTCAAAAATATCCAGAACAAAAAGGTCTGAAGGTGTGGTTCAAGCTGTAACTCTCTTGCGTAGCAAGCATGAAGCCCTGAGTTCAAACCTCAGTACCATCAAAAAAACTAATGAACTACACAAGAATTGGTACATATTTATTATATATAAATTAAAACTCAGGAACATTGACTTAAAAAGTTAAAAAATCTATACTTACTGGAAACATTTTCTTTTTTTATAAGCATAAAGCCATTAGCCTGCTTTAAATTAAAAGACTTTTGTTCACTCTAGAAGAAACACTATCTGAGTTTTATAGTGTATATGAATCATGGTATAATTAAATGATATACATATAAAATATATATGTTGAACCTGTTGCTGCAGGTTCAAAATGGTGTATGGTTCTCTACCTCATGAGTTAGAGAAAAATTGTGCACTGTGATAGAGAGCAGTATTTTACATGTGTTAAATCACCCAGGACATTTGTTTTTAAATAACATAGGGTTGTAGGGAAAGAGGGACTCATTAACTTAAGCTGAAAGGAGAGTCAGAGTGAAATAGAAAGAAATAATGAGAAAAAGATAAAGTCCCTAATTAGAAATCAAAGAAAATACTTATCATGGCACATCTGTTAAAAACATCAAAAGTTCAGCTTTTAAAAATATATAAAACTAACAGGTTCATTAATATAACAGGTTTCCACATATGGTAAAAATCAAGGTTTGTGACATAAGTACTTTATATGCATAAACACAAATATGTACATAAAAATATATACATATGCACTCACACTGTATGCTAAGCAAAAGCAAAACACAAGAATTTACATAATATATAAAAATTGCCTTCTATTTCCTTCTTCTCTTTCCTTCCTCCTTTTTTGCCTTCCTATCTTTCTTTTGCCCTTAGCCATTTATTGGCCTTAATGTTTGTCACTTCTGTGCATAAAACCTACCATTAGAATACTAAGTTAGAAATTCCCTTCTACTCACTTAAGATGTGTGCATCTTGAACATTATCATACAGTTGGTTACTTCACACTCCTTCAAAAACTATATTTATTTAGGTCATAGAAGAAACTTTTTAGTACCTCTGGGTTTAGATGTTGGAGATTCTTCTACTGAATGTTTAGTTTGTGTTATCCACTTCTATAATCCTACTGATTCCTTATGTATGAGACACATTCCCATCCAATGTCTTCGATTCACTGTGCTCCTTTTATGTATTTCCTCTATGCTTCTTTGTGGTACCTGTGATTCTCACATCATGCTTGCTACATATTCAAACACCAAAGATGCATGTTCATAAAAAAGAGCATTCCTCCAAGGAAAGTGTATTCTCTGCAAAATAAAAGCACAGAAGTCTTTGCAAAGTTTTTTGTTCTAACAACATTAAGAGCTGTCAGAGGAAGTTAAAACAGAAACCTCATGCTTGTTACTACTTCTCCCCCATATTTGCAATTCAGCTGAATCAAAACTTTGTTTTATGCTGGCAATGATGGAGCAGTGCAAGGGTGCAAAGAGTGATGGAGGCAAGTGCAAGCCCACATAGTCGCTAAAGGCTGCGCTGTGCACAGCTCCTGCTTTGAGGCCAGGATGTTGTTTGATAGTGCATGGAGCAGGTGTTTGAAGTCTTGATACCCATCAACTAATTGTCCCATTGTTCTTCCTTGTATTTCCTTGTGCCTCCTTTTAAAATGTTTATCAGCTTCCACTCCCTTCTCCTTAAGTATTTAATTTTCTTTTGGAGCAACAGTGAGAAAACACATGAAGTTCTTCATCCTAACTATAAAAGAATTAAATATTTAGTTCATGCTGCAATGCCAAATCATTTTTCTTGAACAGAATCCTTCAAATGTACTATACCCAAGTTTAAATTACTTCCCATTCCCTCAGACTATTCTGTTTGTAATTTTTCCTAATAAAAATGGGAAAATTTATTTTTATGTTCTGTTCAAAAGAAACTTCTCATTAAAGCACCTGACCCACAAAAATAGATTCAACTTTCCCAAGTAAGAATGTGATGCATATTAATGTGTGCTCTCTAGTGTGTCACATTGGCAGATAAAACTACTAGTTTTAGGGTGTTCTGAGAATTGTAGATGTAGTGAAAGAACATCACCAAATACTAGACTGATATCAGTGCTCTAAAAGCACTATGCAAGTATATGACATTATTAGCCACTGAAGTTCTGCAGTGTCATGATTTCTAAGGCAAAGTAACAAATGTCACAGCAGAAGCCCTAGTTGGTGTCCTTGTCTGTCTCAGGTTATCTTCTTGATCCCACACTTTCTATCTTGGGACAGCTACTCAATCTTCCTTTACCTGGGTTCTCCACACCTCATTGTATTGATTTAAAAATTTAATGAAGTATGGATGATAGTAATAAATAACATATTCAAGTCTGACTAAACCAAAATTAAACCAGGAAAAAATGTAGATGTTAAGATGCACTTTAGTTTCTAACAAGTAAATATGTGATACAGATTCTCTATCCCTACCTTTGCAGTGAATTCCTGGGGTAATGGTAACTGCATAAATCTGAGAGATCACAAAATGAAATTTTATGGAGCTTT